GAAAACAAACCTAAAGAATTCAAAATAATCTTTTCCACTGGGTTTTTGTGGAGTAAGATCAACAAAAAGAAAGCACTTTCTCCTTCTTTTCAAGTTAATATGCCTTTTTTCCCTTCCATTTGTGTTATTCCATAGTTTTGATGACTTTGATGTGGAATAAAATACAATGTGAAAAAATAATAAATTGATGTTAAACGTCTTTGTGCTGCCTTAATATTTTAAGATTATGCAAATGAAAATGTGCGATTGTATTAAGTTACAATTTTTGAGTTATCTCAACAAGCTCAATATTTTTCTTGCTTTTTCTTTTTTTTTTTTTTCTTTTTGTTTAAACAGTCAGTGTAAGTTTAAGTTTTAACAAGTGTAAGTTTTAACAAACTTTTTGACTTGCAATGTGCAATATGTTCCATGTTCTGAGATATCTTATACATCAGTTAGTTAGTGCACAGTTTAATACTGTTCTGCACAGTTAATGTGTTGCTGATGTGACGGATTGGCTGCCTCCTGCTAATTATCATCATCACCCCGTCCCTTAATCGCTGCTCTTCACAAAGCTCCTGACAGGAGTGGGTGTGTGAGAGAGCAGGGGTCTGGCGGCGAGTGAGAAGTGCATGAAATAAGAACGACTTACGTGAAACTTGAACGCTGTCACTTTGCTCATTGCTGACAGGATTGCTTACACTGCATGAGTACGTTCTTTCCTCCTGTACTTGAGCAGATGTCAAGAGCAGTTTTAGTTTTTTTTTCATTCTGGATGATTTTGCCTTCTTTATACCAGGATACAGTCAGATCCGTATGGTTTCCAATGTCACAGGTGAGAGTAACGTAACTATCATCATAGTCAAACATCACAGTAGGTTTAGGAGCCTTTGCTGTGAAAGAAACATGGTGGTTATTTCCTACTACTGTAACTGCTGTAGAAATATACACTCTTATTTTGTAATTATGGTGGTATGAATATTTGTCCTCTTACCATAAACGTTAATTTCCTTTTCTCCAGCATCAATCTGTGTACCTTCAGCATTAAAAACAGTGTATCTATATTTGCCGGTGTTCTTCAGACTAACGCTTTCAAATGTTAATGATCCATCTTCTTCCATTGTTAGACCTCGAAGGCACCACTAGAGATATGGGTCCATACGGTCTCATCAGATGTATCAAGGTTTTTTGTTGGCAGTTTGATGGTGCAGGACGTTCCCTCTAGTAGTTCTTCTCCACATGTCTTTGTCGAGACTGTAATAAGATGATATTAGCAAAACGAGTTCATGCACTCATATGTGGTTTACTCTGATACATAAACATTATAGAGAATGAATATTTCTCAAGATGGGTTTCTTGTTAAAATTCAATTTCTGTTTAGACACTAAACTTAAACACTTACATTAGAAATCACTGCTCTGATTATTTTGCATGTCTCTCTTACTTAACACACCTGATTCAGATAATCAGCTCATTAGAAGAGAGCTCCATGCATGATGTGTTCTGATTGACAGGGTCCCATTACAGTGTTCATTGCGGCCTACTCCCTGAGCACGAGAAATTTGTTAAAGTTTACTTCACTTCGGAACATTCATTCACGGATTTGCACACAGTGTTCACACACAGACTAAACTTATTAAATAAGTGCAGAGGTGGACAGTAACGAAGTATAATTTCTTGAGTAGTGTACTTAAGTACACTTTTTGAGCATCTGTACTGTAAGGTTTACATAACCTCAGAAACTTTGATCTTCTGCGGGAAAACATCTCTTTTACCTATGCATTATTTCCTTCTCATCCCCTTCCTTCCCCTCACCCATCCTTCCCTTCACTCAGCT